ACTAGAACGGCGCCATATTGCTTGTTTGTGAAACCTCTGAGAGTGGGGGAGGGAGCATGGAGGGAGGGGGAATTTTTTACTTCACGTTAGCGTTAACACGGAGAAAACTTTTGCGATTGTGAATGAACTTGGTCGCGTTAAAGAGATGTTGGTTGATACCGGTGTTTATTTGTAATATCAGAAATGTAAGTGCTTATGTGTGTGTATTTAGAGAACAAACTAGAAGCAAAAATCAGCTCCCTAAGACGACCGTTTCTGAAAGAGACTAGTATTTCTGAAAACATAAGTATATTTTGTTATTGAACATTCCGTCTGTAAGGCGACCATTCACAGAAAATTCTGCAACTGTAGCCAGAGTCGTAGCTATGGTTTTCAGCGCCCAGGGACAACTGAAGATTTCGCGCCCCCTACTGCTTGCCAAGGATGCAAAACATTTAATTCTAAAATGTCGTAACATCAGTTTGGAGCCCCTTGATTCTGCGCCCGGGGACAGATGCCCCCTTGCCCCCTCTAGCTACGCCCCTGACTGTAGCTGGTCGCCTTAGAGAGATTCATTTCGTAGATGCAATCTCCCTAAGAGGACCACCTCTAAAAGATAAATGTATTTCTGAGGACGTGAGTATATATTGGTATTGAGCATTACCTCTCTAAGGCGACCACTTGGAAAGATGAATTTTTATTTGCGGCTGATCGCCTTAGAGAGACCTAGTTGTGCGTGATGTATATGATTACTGTTACTGTTTCCGAAAAAACATTAAATCAAACAAATAAGAATATTTAGTAAAAACCCTCTCTAAAACGACCACCTGAGTTTCCAGGTTACTCTGATAGTCTTAAAGAGATTATATTTTTATTCTGTTAATTTTATTGTTTACAAGAAGTTTATTAACGTCAGACAGAAAAATAGAATAAACCCATATAAACCAACAGAAGATTTATTATTATATTGATACCAGTAAGAAAACCAGTAAAAGTCAATATAAACCAATACAAACCAGTAGAAAGTTCTGACATTGAATGTTGGTTGTATGGGTGTCAATTGATACCAGTAAGAAAAACCCACAGAGACCAACAGAAACCAGTAAAAGTTAATAAAAACCCATAAAATCTTATGGGTACCCATAAAAAAATTTACTGGTTTCTATGGGGCATTTTTAGCAGGGCCACTCGTTTTTAAATATGTAAATAACACATTTTCATGCGTACATTACTTCACTTCATTTGTTTATTACATGTTTAACAGTGTATCCTATGCGCATTTCTTGTATTTTCCTTTCCTTTGCATCTTCACAGCTCCATACACGTGATTATTATTCTTGTCTCAGGGGTGAGAGTTAAGTTACTTTGATGATTGAACTTTTGTCACTATGGCCGATGGGCCCTCTTTTCCTTACCTACTCCGATTTCCCAGCTGGGAACTAGCTGAGAGTTGACTCTCTGATCGTCCTTAGGGGATTAGATCAATACAGCTCACTAAAGCCCAGCTGGGCTAATATAAGCATAAGCAATTAGCATTCAAGCACAGGAATAAGATCCGAGGATAATTCTGTTAAGACTTCCAGTGTCATAAAGAAGTTAAAGTTAGAAAGAAAGAAGTCCAGGATGTCTGAGCGTCTATTGATAATATTTGGGCGGTATGTAAGTTCGTCTGGAATATAAATATAAATGAGGTGATTTTCCACGAAGCTCTTATCATATGTCCGTTTAGAATTTGAAGTATTAAAGCCCCAGTCGATGTGCCTTGAGTTAAAATCATCACCTATGATAGTGGGGATTTGAGAGTCCAGATGGGTTCGAAGCTCCGTCACATCCATTTTGTTGTCAGGAGGGTTATATATACCACAGAATCTGGTGTTGCCAAATTTTGGAATATGTACATTTACATAAACAAGTTCATGTCCTTTTGAGTTATCGGAGGAAATCAGTCTTGAATTTAAAGATCGTTTTACATAGATGATCACGCCACCGCCGCGATGTCTGACTCTGTCACATCTCTACGTGTGGTAGTTTGCCAGTTTTAGGTTGTGTTTTGCAAGTGCATGAGTTTCAGTAATCATGCATATTTGAATATCATAATTTTCTAAGAAATCGTGCAGCTCATAGAGCTTTGTAGTAAGATTTTGTTCGTTCCATAAGGCCATTGAGATAGGTAAAAATGGTTGTGGTAGGTTATTCATGATACATGGCTGATTTTTGAGTAGGTGCACTATTAAATTGTCCTGCAGTGTCCTTGAGCATGGAAATTGCAGCTGTGTGAGTGGTTATGAGAGCTTTTGCTTCTTCAAGCTTAGCTGATAGATCTTGAAGTTCCTGAGAGCGGTGCTCCGTGGAACGCTGTGCACTGCTGGTAATTAGTCGTACAGAGTATAGTTTTCTGTCTGAGTTATTCTCTTTTGGAAATAAAGAACATCCTAGAAACGAAGCCGTGTGATTAAGTCCACAGTTTGCACAGATAGCAGGCTCAGAAGGGGGTTTAGTGCACGTACGTGACTCGTGCCCCTGTCCTCACTTTACGCACCGCGCAGGAAGGTGGCAGTGGGCTTTCGAGTGGTGGAAATTTTGGCACTTGTAACATTGTGTGGGGCCCTTTCTGCCCCTGTATCTCCCAACCTTAATGTGCAGCCGTAACAGGTAGTGCAGGTGAAAGATCGATCTGGAATGTTCGTTTCTGGCCAAAGTAACCAGGAATAGTGGCATACGCTGGATGTCATTTCCACGCTTCCGGGTAAATTAGGAAATGCGGATCACTTGGTAGCCGAGCTCCATTATGGCTTTTCCGATTTCGACAGGGTCGTAGTAAGTCGGGATGCTGCGAATCACTGATTTGATATGCTTCTCATCTGGTAGCATGTGAGTGTAATATTTGAATTTATTTGAGTCCAGTAGACTTGTGATCTGACGATGTATATCAGATTCGAAGACTTTGATTTCAAAATCGAAGTCCCATCTCATCTTGGCTTTGCAGTCAGTCAAGCTTTGCATTTTCCAATAAATCGTTTAAATGCTTCCAGGTGAAATTAGGATCTTGTATGATTATCGGGGGAACCTTTGAGCTTCTCCTAGGATATTGGAATCCCTCGGTGTTTGCGGATCCGCTTGGCACTTCTTCCGGAGGTTCCTCATTGGTCGGAAGTATCGCACTGGCAGGCGTTACAAACTGGCTGGGGATTTGGAGCTGGAATGCCTTCCTGTGGTTTAGACGTTTGGATAGCTCTGATTAATAAAACCTTTGTAGCGTTTTCTGGTAATTTCTGTGTTTTTGGTTTGAATTTGTTATTTTTGTGGTAAGCGATAACAACGCCAAACGTGTTTTAAACGCTTTGTTAAAATTATTGGAAAGAATGAACGATGGGCCTTTTTTTTTCCGCTCGTACGCAATGACACGGAAATTGAAATGAGTTACTATAAATTAAGAATTGCTCCAAATGAATTATTCTTGGCGCCAACCGAAAAAAGCGTGCCAAGATAATTTTTGTAATTTCTCGGTAAGTTTGCCACTAAATATTATAAAATTTTATATTCAGGCATGATTTGAGTTGTAGAATCAAAATATGGTGAAATATTATTAACATTCAAATCCATCAATTCTGAAAATTCTTCTTACGTTTCATTTTCTAAGATTTTAGTTTCAATTTTAGAAGTAATTTTCAGCATAAAGTTCAGTTCTTATCTGTAAAGAATAAAGAAGCTTACCTTGCAGAAGATTAAAACACATATACCCACATAGTAAAATACCCACACGGTAAACAATATGTATGTATATAATACCCACATAGTAAACAATATGTAACACATCTTCTTGTTAAACGAAAACTATTATTTTTGCCAACTTTTATGTATAATTTTTTATTTTCCATTTTATCTTTTCATTTCCATCCATTCAATTTGGCATCAGTCCAACATTTGACGGTTAGTATGCATCTAAATATGCTAATATTGAGGGAAGATAGAACTACATATTTGTTTAGAATATATTTATTATATATGTAGCTAGAATTATACTTATTATACATGTAGATAGAACTACATATTTATTTTAGATATGAAATAATCCATTTATTTGAAAGGACCCCTAGGACATCGGTGGTACTTCAATCATCAAAGCAATATCGTCAACTAACATTCTCGATATGCAGATGAGAAGTGCCCTTTGATGCCGTTACAAATTAATCGCTTGGGGATTTTCTCAACGGAAGTGGCAGAAATTGAACCAAATCACAGGAAAGTAGATATGAAGATGTTTTTAATCAAAAATGTTAAATATCTATCAACTGGATAGACTTTTCTTCTGTTAAAGATCAAGGATGTTAACTTACTTATCTTTATCTACCGAATCAATGATAGGCACACGAAACGAAGATTTCTCTCAACAAGAGGGATAAGAATGGGAGAGATTCAAGTTACAAGGAAGTGGAAATGAAGATGGCTTATTTTAAAATATTCCTGAAAAAATCTTAGAACGTTTTAAAAAAATTCTGGATATTGTAAATTGTGTAATGCTAGTAATATGACTATTTAATCTAAATGGAACATATGTTTCTTATAATAAATAATATTGTGATAGTTATTTATAGTTTATCCATGATTATTCCATTTGTTTTGTTCCCACTCTAACCGCGCTCTTAGTAAATTAAGTGATTCGCATCATTTTACCCCTCCAGAATTTTGAGCGAAGAAATTAATAAAAAAGAGGTGAAATTCGTTTTACATTTTGCATGCTGTGTTCCCCTCTGAAGAGTAAGAGAATAAAAAACAACAAATTTGAGAAAATGTTTTCAAAATTTTAATGATGTCAACAGAAGAAACATAATAATACGCAACCAAATAACGCAGAGTTATGTATTAAAAGCATAAAACACCAACAGAAATCTTCCTCTCCAATGCTGCCGAGCTCCGTGCTTTCTTACGCCATTTCAAAACCGTGCCGAACTAAGTAGCCAAGAATATAAAAATGTTAAGTAACTACTAATCACCACCAGATAGTTTAGTTAAGTCCTTCATCCTTTTCTGAAAAGGTCGTCGTTAGAGTCGTCGTGGCAAATGTAGTCCTGGATTTTAATAAATGCTTTCAACTGGTTTGTTCCTAGATCACGGCAAAAATCTTCAAATGGTGGGATCTTCTCGTTCTTGTACCTACGCAAAAAATGAAATATAGATGTTCACTTTATATTATTAAGCACATATAAATATATTATTTCAAAAATAATATATTCACTTGAATATTTGGACGGGCACATGTAATTCTCATTTAAGAAACAAATCAAATAAGAAAGCATTTCAAAACTGAACAGTACGTTTTTATCCCGAATGGAGCAACAGGACAGTGTAATGACAACACTTTTTGCTAAAAATATAACAAATAAAAATTTTATGCCTATGTTCTATAAAAAAGAATGTTTTTCATTATTTTAATAGACACGATGGGGATCTCGGTGACCAGTCAGCTCTGACAACAAGAAAAAAAATCCAGATCGAAATCAAAACAGCAACGAAGACCGATCTGCACTTTTGCCTTGGCGGTACAATGCTTATTTTCTACGCCGCAAGCCTCGGTTCAACACCCAAAATCACTAATTACCTTATTTACCAATACTGAAGCAGCATTTACCAACCTTTAAACAAGTGTCCCTCCCCCTCCACAAACATCATTTAGGAGTTCTATGAAAACAACATTTTTCTTTGCAGTCCTTTCAGAATTACATGATTTAAATCATTTTTACCCTATTGTAAGCCCTAAACTTTAAAGTATCGTATACAATTTGATCTCCTGACTCATGAAATATTGTATTTTGAGAATAAGAACTAGAAATCTAATACTTCTGTGAGAAAATTTTTATATTAAGTCAAAAGTATTTTTTAATCATCTGCGTGCAGAAACCTAATATAATTAGCAATCTTTAGTAGTTTAAGGTCCTCTTACGTTTCAGTAGGTGGTATTTCATAACAACATTCTCGAAGGAGCAACATCTGGTAGTGAATTATTTTATTCAGATTTTCTTTTTCACGTTCCTTTCAAATAAAGTTTTGATTGAATTAATCGGTTTAATTTAAATTTTTTCTCCCATTTTAGGCATATTACCTTTTAAAATATTTTCCAGTTTAGGACTGCTATTTTTTTTTTTTTTTTTTTTTGTAAGGTTTATTATTTTCCAACAATTTGGAAACTTTTGTACATAAATTATCATTAAATCTTCTTATTTATTTAACTTTTAAAATATACCTGTAAAATAAACTCGTTTTCGAAAACGTTGTTTGACTTTACAATATGTTTATTTTTGGTTTACAATGTTTGTTAGCAGCTCTGCATTTTCTTCGACTCGAAATTATTTAAATACTTATTTAGTCTATTACTTTTAATTTACACATTGATTTTTATGGTTTCTTATTTTAAAATATCTTGGTTTTTACTGTTTATTTTTACTGTATTCATTGTCTTAGGGTTTGTCGGATCAGATGGTAAATTAATGATAATTGTAAAATTAAAAATAAATATTTTATGTTATATTTTATTGCATTTTAATAGTTTTTCATATTAGTTAGCTTCATTTTATTTGACGTTTTCTTTTGAAATATTTCAAAAATTTACAGTTATCCAGATATAATTCAAGAACGTGGCTTTATTGAAAATTCCTCCTCTGCTTCTTGAAAAGGACCGAAGAATTTTCAACGATTTGTTACATTATTTTTAATACGTTATTTTATTCAATTGTTGTCTTTTAGTTTCAATTTTCATGTATGTGTTTCCTGTTAAACTCTTGAATCCTTTTCTGATTTGATTATTATCTCTTTATTATTTAAATAATTTCACAGCATACTGTGAGAATTTAATAATCTATAATCTTGATTTAATTTTTTTAAACTTTTGTTTATAAATGTATATAATTTAGCAGAAATCGTAATTCGACTTACGTTGATTGCGGTGGGAATATGTAATGTGTGGTTGGCATAGGGAACCCATTGAACGTAGTTGTCAACGATTGTGTGTAAGCTCCCATGTTGTCAAATACAATATGCTCTCCAACTTCCATTTCGGGTAGCAGGCAGTCTTCGATGATGCAATCAGAGCTGCAGCAAGTGGCTCCCCACAACTTGCTGCGAAGTATTTGGCGAGAAGCAAGTTGGGCCTTGCTCTGAAGTAGAAGAAAATAAAATATTAAAATTAATAAAAAAACTAACATAAGAAGAAATAAGAGGATACAAACAGAAAGAAATAATAAAAAAATAAATGTTTAATATAAAGTGTTAATTTAAAATGTTTGTAAACGGTAAAATGTTTTTACTCGAATGTACAACTGACTTCCAAACTTTAATAATAGGTAATGAGGGCATAGTCCAACTGCAAAAAACTATTTAGACCGCAACACACCACAGGGTAATCGAGTATTCCTTGAAAAATGTTTTGTGGCTGGTTCTTTTAGTACTTATATGAATTTCGCAGTAGAATGAATTTAGATCAGATGGCACCTTTTACACTTAAGCAAATTAGAACAGGTGGCGCGCATTTCACTCTTATAAAAATTTATACTTACAAATCTCCGATTGTTCATGTATAATTTGAACAAAATACTGATTTGTTTACAATAGCCATTACTTGCTAGTTCATATGTGCAAGGAATTGTATTGCAAAAATATTTGTTATGTAGAATTTCTTAATGTAAAGATATTTTATGCTACGTAAAGTTCTTTGTTATGTTCTTTGCTTTGCTCTTTTGCTCCAGTCAAAATGAGCTGATGACGAAAGCCTGTTTTCCAATTAGAAATATCAAATCGGTCTATATACCTTTCTAGAGAAATGTGTTTGGTGCATGTTATTCTGCATCACTAAAGATCCAAATACCTAACATATGAGTAATGCGATAGAAAGAGGAAATGCGCTACAACCTCCTTTCCCTAAAAAGAATGGACAGTTCTATATTTTCCGTTCTACTAGGCCGACTGACGAAACTTAACATGCGTTTTTCATGTTTCGAAAGCGCGGCGAAACATTGAAAATTGTGTTATATATATTAGATTTATATATATATATATAGCAATGTTCTAATATAGGTATACTGAAAAAAAAATTGGACTCATTCTGAAATGATATAATTACCTTTTTCCATATTTCTATTCTACGACTCAAATTAGGCCAAAGTGCCCAGCTTTATATACGCGAATTTATACATAGGCGTGTTTGGACATTTGGCATATTTGTTAGATGCGATAATTACGCCAAAAGTGTTTTACGCACTTTGTTAAAATTATTTTAAAGAATGAACGGTGTCTCTTTCCTTCTCCTTGGGCAAAATGAAAGGAAAAGGGAAATAGGTTACCATAAATTCAGAATTTCGCTAAGTGGCGCATTTTTCAATTTCTTGGTACGTTTCTGACTGAATTTTGCAAAATTTAATCATAAGAAATAATTCGAGTCGTAGAATCGAAACATGAAAAAAAAATGGATGTGTTATTTCAGAAAAAAATCCGTTCTTGTGTTGGAATACCTATGTTAGGCCAGCGCTATATATAAATCTAATATATATCCAAAGTCGCGCTTTCGAGACATGAAAACCCAAATTAAATTTCATCAATCGACCTAGCAGAACGGGAGATGTAGAATTATCCCCTTCCTTTTTTGTGTGTATGTAGAGTGTACATTTCGCAAAAGTATTCAATTAAAGAATAACTATCAAGGATAATCAGGCCAAGCTTTGTCACAGGTTTGATGAAAAATATCCCTTAAACTGGAAACATAATTTCGTACCCTCATTCCCTACAATCATCAGAGCGGTGAAATTGTTGAGCGCTAGTAGTTCAACCTGGGTTCAGGTCCTGGTATACCAGAGAAGTGTCTGCGTGAGAGGTTTCGTGGTTTCTTCATGTCTAACGTAAATGTATAACACTAGCAGTTCAACCTGGATTCAGATCCTGGTATACGAGGAAAGTGACTGCGTGAGAGGTTTCGTGGTTTCTTCATGTCTAACGTAAATGTATGGATGGAAATATCAGAAAGCAATGACACGAAAATGAGCCCCGTTGTCTATCAATTGGAGGACCCAGTCACGACTGCTGAATTTGTAATTATCAAATTATGTCAAATTATGTTGAGAAAATGAAACTTAAGGTTTCAGAGCTTAAATTATGCATTCAATGTACTATACTTCATTCGTACCTTAATGCATAAATGTAGGAGTATTTTGGAAAACGACTCACTCAAACTATTTTTTCTCTTTAAATGTAGGTTTTAAATTTTACTTTAATTGAAAACTTTTGATAAAAAGAAATAGATTTTCTTTTTTTCCTTCCCTTTTTTTATTTTTATTTGAAATATTTAAGAGATCAGAGATTCGAAAGACTTGAGAATCTACTAGGAAGCGTTATACTTGCATCTTTTATCTGGAGTTAAGCATTTGAAATAAGAAAACATTTCAGTCCTTAGTAAAATAAAAGTAGTTAAGTATGGTTTAAAATACTTATTAAAAATACATGTTTGGCTATCTCCTTTGTGCATTTCGTTATAAATATAAAAGTTCCAAATCGTTTGAAATGTGTCTATTAAACTGTCATTATTTGATAGAACTTCAAGAATCACAAATAATTCATACTTACTAGAAGTGGTTTGATGTGGAATCCATATTTTTCAAACCCGTAGGCAAATGACCCATAAACGCCGTCATTGAGGTAGTAATAACGTTGCAAAGATTTGTTGAAACATTCTATAAAATAAAATATTCGTTTAGATAACGCATATACAGAGCATAAATTATTTCAATAAGCTTAATAGTATTTCTTAGGTTATATTGGCTAATATTAGTAAGCTTAACAGTATTAAGGCAACCTACAAATTACTCATTTTAGAGAAATATTTTAATAGATAATTTTTACTTTGCAACGGCATTGGTTGCAGAAATTGTATAAGGTATTTACTCCCTCCTTCCAGCATGCTTTCATGGATGGTGTAACGGTAGCACACTCGTCGTCTCGTATTCAAGAGGTCCAGGTTCGAGTCCCGGACAGGATATTGCTCATTTTTCGCGTTTCCTACTTCAAAAATAGTAATGACTCAATAGTGGGGACCGAACTAATAAAAAAAGGTGGTGGATGATGATTCTTCACCACCAGGATTTAGCTATTCCGTCCGCTAATGCCCAGTCGCCCTTCAAAAGGGGGACTATGTAAGGTATTTTCTCCCTCCTTTCTGCATGCCTTCGGAGTGTAACAGTAGCACATCGGCGCGTATTCGAGAGGTTCAGGTTCGAGTCCCGGCGATGGCATTGCTCATTTTTCATGTCTTCTGCTTCAAAATAAACCTATTTTATATGCATTTATTATAAAAATAGTTATATTAGTATAAAATATCATAAATAAAAATGCTATTTTAGTACACTAAACACTACAAAATAATATTATTTAAAACTTATAAAGCGCGTGTTCATTTATAATGTTCTAGTAGTACTTCGTATAAACTTTCTTGTAGAACGTTTCATGAACGTTCCTACCCGGACATTCTTTAGACTTTACACGACAGTGTTAGTATTACTGGATTGGAAATGTTAATATCCGCTTGAGAACCGTAACAGGTGGACGCGATTCAGAGCGTTTCGACTGAATGTTTCTAACTCGTTCGTAAAACATTTTTATTGAATTTTTATGAACATTCAGGTATTAGTTGGGCAATCGTATAGGTGATAATTCTGTGAAAATTAAAGTTACATATATAATATTCTAAGAAATAAACAATATTACCACTGCTTCTTCCAATTTATACAAGTTATTGATAATTATAATTATCAAACTGGCACGTACTAGTCATTTGAGTGTTCTTTGATAAAAACATATTCTATGTCACTGATAAATTACTTGGACGTGTAAACAATATGTTATAAAGATAATTATAGATAATAAATCAACTTGTTCGCCAGCTAAGATTTACCCCAGTTAACATCCGCATGACCTTCAGGAAACACGAAATTCGTCTATTTCGAAATTAGTAACAGAACTACTAGTTGTTGAGGAAATTATGCAGATTTAGCAATCCTATCCAAATGATTCTGCGTTCCAACATATTTATTATTGGCAAATCATACACATAACAAAAATATATTCATTTTGCTGTAATTTTAATTTATAGTTGTTAAATTTTCCGTCGTCCTCGCCTATACAATGACTTTTATTAAAGTACCGTTTTAACAAAAGATATGAGTGAAACCTTTCACCGCTTTTTATAACAATTCTATGAAAACTGATGATATCGGAGTTGAAAATCTGACGATCTCGCAGAAATTTCTGATTAACTTTAATAGAATACTGTCAAATATATATATTTAAAGCTTTTAAAAGTTCCGAGGCAGGACTTCTATGAGCAATTCGTATAAATAGAGCAAAATGCCTGAAAACTTCTTTCGTAAAATTAGAGCACAAATTCACATTATTAGAACATTGGAATATTAGCCTGGAAAAGGTATTTTGCATTGAATGACTATAAACAGCGTATCATATAGAAAGGCGCGTTATTATTTGTTGAAGTGCGAATACGTACGATTTGTTTTAACTTTTCAGCGTTCGTTACATAGATTGGTGGCAAATATTCATAAATAATAAAATATAATGGAAATAATAATGAATTATACAATAATGTATTTATTCTAACTTTTATTTGATCTAAATTAAATAATGCAAATACCATCATCTTCTGCATCTGTGTCTGTGCTTGTCCTTTTCCCTAAAATTTTAGTGCAGATAGTGTACGCAGAACATACCATGTAGCAGCCTGGCTCTGCAATTATTTTAACTCCACACCCTTCGGGAAAATGTTCGTCGAGGCTCAAATTTATATAGTAGCACATCTAGAAAAAGTAACGATATTACAGAATGATACACACAAGAAAGAAAAGGAACAAATTTGATAAAACTCTTTTGAAATAATCATCTGCTTTTTTTTTAGCTATGCTTTATGTGTCGTCGAGTGCATCACGAGTTGTAGCGTGGAGAGTCCTCGAGAGTACGTGGAGTTCCGAGAACGAAAAAACAGAGTCGGGAGCTGTAATCTAGTGCTCTGCCGTGAAGCTGTCTCCACAGTGATATCCTGATAAATTGGAGGCTGTTTCGCTGATCGTGTCAGCGTGTTTAGAGTAGTTCATTGAAGACTGTAAAAACGTGTTTTCGAGCTGTCCTTACAATACTGGCCAATAAAGTGTGTTATTTGATACTTTATCAAGTGTCGTCGTCATTCACTCCAAATCCACATGAATCCCGTACGAACGTGAAGGAAGAAAATAACGTAACAACTGGTGTCAGAAAATTAAACGTAACAAAATTGTGATCTTTTATTCAATAATAATTTCTGTTCTGTTTTTTCTAAAATAAATCCCCCCCATCAACTATGTATAATAATGCATACAGATTTTATCCCCATAATCAAAAAGAAATATTATAATTATTTATTAAAATACATTGTAAATAATTATACAACTATAATAATTATTATAGTAAATTATTAGAAATTAATTATTAATAAATTTCACTTTTTCAATCTATATTAATGTACATATGTTTCAATCCAAAGATAAAAAAAGATATCTAATAATTATTAATTATATTATTAATACTATAATGTAATCAATAATTATTATATATCCTTTTTATCTTTGGCTTGAAATGTAGGTAATTATTATAAATAAATCGAATTACTTGAAAATTATTATAATCAATTATTATATTATAATTCATTGTAGTGAAAAGTATACAGTGAAATATAATGGTCAAATAATTAAAATGACAATTAATGTACAATAATAGCTATTTATTACACTTTATCATAAAATTATACGTATGTACCAAAATTAAGCTATGAAAACATTCATATTGTTATCAATATGTTAATAAGTACATAAATGCACAAAATTACACACAATCAAAAAGTTAATTACGAATCATGATCAGAATATTATCTTAGATTACTTAAAAGTAATTTTCTGCCTCCTTAAATCTGTGCTCTTTGAACGAAGTGAAAATAAAAAGGGTAAAAATAAGAATGGAAGAAATCCGTACTGCGTGATTCGTGTCTATCCACTCTGTTTCGTCAATAAATCAGTCCAGATGGCGCTCTTGTGTTTTTGTTCATGGTCGCGGAATGCGCGGTTAAACTATGTATGGCAGTGCAAGAGCCATCTATCGTTGGTTACTGGAATCGTTGAATTGCTGATGACGTAATGTCAAATTTACGTCATCTATCACTAGTGCTGAATGGTCGAAATCGATTACATTACCTGCTTACGTTTGTACAGTACTTCAGCTATTATAACAATGTATACTCGAGATCAGTGACTAAGAAGAGTGTATTTTCTGCTCTTCCGTAAGTGAGCCATTAGGCCTTTGTTTTTCGTTGCCAGTCTTTGGATCTACAAATATGGACTGCATAAACATAAAAAAAGCAACCTGCGACATGCTAGTGATTTAGTTATTATCGCTTGGCAACTCCGCTGGAAAAATTTATCATTACTTGTTTGATCAGCTTAAAACAATGTCTATAATCATTCTAATGATAATAAATCTGTATTTTTGAGTAAAAAGTAAGTTTCATACTTTATCAAAGATGTCCATGGTTCCGGTAGCACCGGGATAACCTCCTCCGATGTCGAGTAATGTAAAGTGAAATCCCAAATCTTCAGCTGTGTCAAAAACTTGTCTTGCCATTCCGATGGCTTTGGAAAACGCGGATGGCTGTTCACAAAGACTTCCTACATGGAAACTGAAAACAAAAGCGTATACCTATTTTAGCTTAGTTTGAAATGGATTATTAGCAAATGAGAGAAGCAAGGAATTAATAAGAGAATGTTTAGTAGCGCTACTACAGTAAACTCTTGCCCAATGCTGACTTGAGGAAAGCAATTTTGCATATACGTATTACATTAATTGTCTTCATTTAATTTCTCAAACGAGACAATTTCATTGATATTCGGTGCGGTGCGTCGGCTGTGGGTAGAAATTGTCAACAATTTTAAAGGATTTCCAGCGACTGAAAATAAAGCCAAGGAAATAGTACATATTGCGAAAAAGGAAAAGTCAAGGAAATATTCGAGAATGATGATCGGAAAAGGGCAAATAAAGGACTGGATGATCTTATAAACACTAGAAGACGGTGAAAATAGCGATAGTACAGAAGATAAACAGCCTTTAACGTACAAGAAGTTAAACTGCTTGTTAAAAAAGTCTCAGGAACTGTCTATTGACCCAAACGAAGAAAGAAGGCTCTTTACGACAGGTTGCGCGGTTCATCGATTTATTTTTAACTAGTAGTTAATTTTAAGTTGAAACATCTTCCTATCACTCTCTTCTCACCCACGCTTTTCATGCTAGAATGTAAAGGTAATAGCGAAAGTTTATTCCGATTACGGTAGAAGAAAGTGCTATTTAAGCAAGAGTTTCGTAATATTGGTTTCAGAGCGTGTCAGCCTATTTCAGGCCACGCTGCGATGTGATTATTAGCGACTTGATTTAGTGTAAATGAGTGTTTCTAGCCATTTCGCTTTATCTCGCCGGTTTTCTGCAAACCAGAGCGTTGCCTGCCCGTTAAATTACACTGTGTGTCGTTAGGTTAATCATTTTGCGTTTGTTCAACATTATGTATTTTTTGTTAAACCAGAAGTGCTTAGCTTGTGTAAGCCCAAGAGGGGTAAGTGTTAAGTTGAGTTGGAATAAAAGGGTCTTATACACCCTTCTTCTGACTTCTGCCTTGTTTGACAAAGCTATAAGAGAATTCTTCAATAGTACTTTTAAATTCCATAGTGTATGGTCCTTAAGAGACATAGACGTATATGTCTCATACACTGATTACTTGTTTCTTGTTTTTAAATACCTATTCTCCAGTTTTAAAATCCTGCTGGATTTAAATTGGAGGACAACTATTTTTTACTGCTTTTTTACCAATTTTAAAATCCTATTGCGGCTAACATTCAATGGCTGTTTAAATTCGTAACAAAACGGTATTTTCGAATCTTTTGAAGATAAAGAAAAGAAATCATTAAGAATGGCTACATGAAGTAGTTTTTTTGCTTAGCTTGTGTAAGCCCAAGAGGGGTAAGTGTTAAGTTGAGTTGGAATAAAAGGGTCTTATACACCCTTCTTCTGACTTCTGCCTTGTTTGACAAAGCTATAAGAGAATTCTTCAATAGTACTTTTAAATTCCATAGTGTATGGTCCTTAAGAGACATAGACGTATATGTCTCATACACTGATTACTTGTTTCTTGTTTTTAAATACCTATTCTCCAGTTTTAAAATCCTGCTGGATTTAAATTGGAGGACAACTATTTTTTACTGCTTTTTTACCAATTTTAAAATCCTATTGCGGCTAACATTCAATGGCTGTTTAAATTCGTAACAAAACGGTATTTTCGAATCTTTTGAAGATAAAGAAAAGAAATCATTAAGAATGGCTACATGAAGTAGTTTTTTTTTTTATCAAATTAGAACAAATTAGAAGAATTAGAAAAAAATCGTTGTCACCTACCTGACCCCAACGATGTTCATTTCCAGCTTTCTACCTAAGTGCAACAATTTCTCAGCTTGTTTCAACTCGCATCCAAATTTGTTGCTCAAGGGGAATCCTGCCGGTACGTTTGGTATTCTTATGCGGAGAACTAATCTGAAATTAAAAATGAAGTCATTTGAAAATTTGAATGTCTTTAGTAAATAATATTTTATTGGATGTTTTGCAATATATTCATATACATTTATAGTGCTTGATAGATTTGAAACTCAACCTCAAAATCTGAACATTTATACGCTTTTCCAATTGATAATAACTGCACAAATAAGAGCTTTAGTTGAAAAGAGAACACTAAGCCTTATGATGAAAAGGCGTGAACCCTTCCACTAGTCACCAAATCCTCACACATTAATTTTCAATTTGAATATTAGACAGTAGAAAACTTTGGTTTTAAATTATCTTCTCTTGTAATTTTAGTTTAGTTTTACTTTAATGTGACACTTCAAGTAATCTGATTCGAATGTTCAGTTTTATGAGAAAACTAGCCTTCTTTAACTAACAGTTAAACATGGTTTTATACTCTGAAAATCAAAACTCGCAGAAACATAACAGCAAGAGTTTAATAGAAGAAACTAATGTCTTAAGTGATCATTCTGGCTGTTTTCTGAACTCATGGAACATCACTGGGCCAATCGGATTTACCGCTCCGGCTTCTGAAGCTCGGTCTCATCATTTGGTCACTCGGGATTGTGACTGCGGTTTCTAGAGCGAACACTACTTTTCCACTTGAAATTGCTGCTCCTGTTTCTGAGATAGACACCATGTTACCACTTTGGAGCACTGCCTCAGCTTTTAGAGTGGACATTACTTGGCCACTCGAGATTGCTATGCCGGCTTCTGAAGGAGAAATCACGTGGCTTCTTCGGATTGTTACTGCGCCTTCTGAAATGAACACGAGAGGGCGACTCGGGATTGCTTCTCCAGCTTCTAAAATGGAAATCACTTGGATGCTCCATATTGCCGACGCGGCTTCTGAAGTGAACACCACTGGCCACCCAGAACTATTGCTCAAGCTTCTGAAGCCAGTTGCCTATTTGCGATTGTGGCTACGACTTCTACACATTACTCAACTTCTAAACCTCTACTGTCAGATCACCTGCATCTCCTGAAGTGCCGCGGCTTAATAACCAGTTTTTGTACGAATAGTAGTGGACACTATTTGTAGAAAAAATAGGATATGCCAATTACCTTCGGTCAATATTTGACATCAGAAAATTTACGGAATATCGAAAATTTATTGATTAGAAGTAGTAAGTAATATTTTTAATTTTTCTTCTAACCACCAAAGGACCTAAAGCGGGATTTTATATTTTAAATGGCATTCATATATTACTTTAGATATCTTAAATTATTATGAATATTCAAGTTAAGAAAAGTTTAGCACATGCCAGATCCGAAATATACAATTTCAGAAAGGACCTGCTTAAGCTAGTATTTTGTTCTAAGCAACATGTTGTCCCTTTTAGGATTTCCCACCATTGCTCACTTTATTTTCATTAAAAAAACGAGATTTTGATGAATTGTTCAATGATGTAAAATGCTCTAAAATATAAGGCTAAAAAGTCTAGCGTCATAGGCCTAGGCTGTAATCAGGTAGATTTTAGACAATTACGGTAAATAAACCACTATCTATAGACTGCATCATTCTGTAATAATAATTCCCTTGTTTTACAAGCAAAATATATGTACTGCACTTCACCCACTTCTCATGGGCTACAGAGTACATATACATATTTCTGTTCTCATCATGGGATGATCCTTATCTCCATCAGAACAGATTTTATTCACTGTATCATTTCCTGTTTTCTAGCAGACGCATCCGTGGTCATAACATGTTTAAACGTCTGCATAATGGATTGTGCGAAAAGGAAAAATTCTTATCCCGAATGATGGTGCTAGGAGAAGCATTCTGGCACCTCGCCTTAGTGGCAGTACTCGAAAGCTATTCAGGGACGCGTTATCGAGGCATTTCTTCACGTTTGTGAAACACTTGTTGAATCACACGTGGACCTAATACACCTGTTATTGCTGCAAGTGGTGGTGTTGCTGATACACCTGGTATTCTTGCAAATGTTCGTTGATTGAGTCTTCGTCGCTGCGAAACGTGTATTGCATCTGCAGTCCAAAACTTCGAATACCTGCTTTGACAATTTCATTTAAAACATTATTATTGTTTGTAATTATTTGTGACCGAATTTGCATCTTTCTGTACAATTGTGCGCAGTATAATTTCTAATATCTAATGCTTTACAAGCATAGTGTATCTGCTTTTACATTGTATATCAATTCTGTAAGCATTATGTATATAAAAAGAGCTGCATATCTATTCAAATTAAATAAGTATTGTGTACCTGATATAATGTACTGCATAATGTATTTATTCTACAGCGTAAAGTTTCATCTGTAATTACTATATCATCTAATAACAAAATTTAATATTCTACAGTGTGCCTGCATGCTTTATGTATGTTTATATGCGCATTTTACGTGTGATATGTGATCTATATGCGTCTTTAGTGTAAGTGTATACTTTATATTAGCTTAATTATGTTTCATTATAAGTATGTGTTTTACTTTTATAAGGTATGTGCAAACTAGTATCTGATTTCTATTATTATATAATGTGCTTACATGTTTTATATGTGTTATATATGTGCTTTTATATGTGTTTTACAAGTGTTTTGTATGTATTTTTATATGTGCAAGTGTATGTACTTGTATGTGTATGTATATGCTGTAATTAGTGTTTAACAGTGTCTAACAAACCAAGATGTAACAAATCATTCGCCTATCGATCAAAACTAATGTATTCCTAAGACGCCTCTGTATGGCCATGTACAATTACGTAAAATTCTTCAATAAACTCCCGAGGTGGCCTCATGAGGCTCCTGGGAGTTGCTGCCACTAGATAGGGGAGGGCGCGGGACATATGCCTGTTTACCTCTGTTAAACATCAGACGTCCCCGTCCTCCGTCACCTGTCACCTGTCTTTGTAGGGCTGTAGCGGGTCGGGGTTGCGCTTCAGATAATATATTCCCATAACATTATTTCCTGATATCTTATTACGGACCTCTATGCAGAACAATTTCAGAACAATAGTTATGAAACACACTTATAACCTGCTTCCCAAAGCAAAACGAATTCCAGCATGTTAATTTTGAAACGCCAGAAAAATGGTACTATATAGGAATATTCCTCAAACGAAAAAACCTTAAGCTTTCAACATAAGAACACACATTGCACAGAAGAAAATAATTACCTGGCATGGGGAAAGACACGTTTGATTTTCATGAGTTCTTGTTCACTGTCAAATGTCATAATATCTACGTTCATGGATGCGGCGTATCTGAGAAATGAAACTGATTTGAAAGGATGGGCGTAGATGACATCAGATGAATTTGCTCCGGCGGAAAGGACGGCATCTATTTCACCCTGGAAATTCAAAATGAGACATTCATTAATTATTCCTTTTCATTCAAGTCATTTCTAGGCTCCCCCTTAATCTACAATTATTCTTTTAAGCGCAATAATTTCTTTTCCTAGAGAAATAACATGAAGTTTTGAAAGCATCTCTGCGTAAAAGTCTTACCTATATCTAAACTAGTTCTTATGGTTAAAAATCGGCGATCGTTAAGGTTAAAAAAACTAACGCATTTTGTTTTTATGTTAAGTCTTTATGGAAAATGGTATAATCGAAATATGATGCTATCATGATTTGGCATTTTCAGATCGAGTTAGGTACTTTTAAAATCTATGTGAGAAGTTGGAAAGTCTGAGAATATCAGAGACATTTGATAGAGTCCTCGTTTTCTGACATAGAATATAGCGCTGCACTCGGTTTTAAAAATGTTGGAGGGAAAATGTTGCATCTGCATTTAAATTTCGTCTTTACAAAACTATGCTGAAAAAAGTGAAACTCCTTTGCACGCAAAGTAAATTTCCAATTTGGATAGACGATAATGTTATTCTAAACGATGAAGCGATTTTCGTGTTCCATAAGATGGATAATTTTTTAATTTATGCAAATAATTTTGCCTATTTGTCTGTATTTTCGTATTTACGCATTTTTCTACTGTTTCACACTTTTATTTATTTAATTAAAATTTTCCTTCTTAAATCATTCATGCATTTCTATTCATTCATTCATTTCATTCTTCATTTCTTAAATTGTGCGTTTATATATTTTATCAAATCTTTTATTCATTGCCCTTCTCTCTCAACAGATTTAAATTCATATAATATTTTTAGAGTTCTTAATTCTGGTTTGGTTTATTTTATTAGGGCAAGCACACTGGGGTTGTCTACGTGAGGGGAGGAATGCTTCCGTTAAAGACTTTCTAAGGGAAACTAGCTTGTATCCGCGTTACACACGAATCACCGGTTACGCCCATGCAGCCAACCCATTTGCTTCTATCGAAACCCAGTTTAAATAATTAGTGTTTAATAATTTTCCTCTTTATCACTTGTGAACTCTTTTAATTCGGAATGGATTAACTTTTTAATTATGAATAGCATACGAAGAATACAATATAAACCAAAGACTCGCTATCGGACTTCCGAAAGATTTGGCGATTTCTCGGTAATTTTGATATCAGTACGAAAAATTCTAGAAACCTGTACTTAACAACTGATGGTGATCTTTCTTGAAGTTTCCGGTAATGTCTTTTCCTCGTCTTTGACAGTGATATAAAAAGGAAGCTGCACTGAACTGAAATAATATTCATGGTATCATTCTTCATGTGGTATAGTTACTGAAAGGTTCTTGGCGAATTCTTAGTATATAATTAAAGGAATGATATTTTGAATATTGGTAAATGCCATACATCTTCTTGTACATCCACACAATAAAAGTTTATATTAGGCACAATTTTGTTGAGCTTTACTGATTTAGAAACCATATGATGTTTCCCTAAAGAACCTCTGAACGACGTCATTCTAGTTCAGTCCATCTTAAGGGCTTACGTAATGTTGACAACGTAGCTAATTCGGAACCTGAACTCAAAATTTCGAGAACTGAAACCTTGCTAACCTAAACCAAAACCTTCTCTTGGTAAGTCTCCATACTGTATTAACTGTGCACTTTAGTTTCAGCTTTCCTGCAACGAAGATACTATTTCACCCTGTACTCTTTGTCTTGTGCTAACTAAACCATTATCTAGAATGCGATATTTTATATAAAAATTGGGGCTTTCTTTCTGAATATGTGTGATGAAGAGTATGTTTCGTTAAATAGTTCGTGTCCATAAATAAAAATTATATTCGATTCGGCTACGTCTGTCTACAAGTGTCTTCGAGTCTCACCTTTCTAATTACGCAGTAAAACTTATATAAGTTATATCGCAGAGAACCACTGCCAATCCATTGCAGCTTTCTTCTAAGTCATCTTACCACATTCATGTAAAGAGTTGACTATTTTTGGGGTAAGACTGGACAGTCGGAAGCGGTTTCAGGGAATGTTACATGAAACTTTTAATAGACAATTACACTGCATATCGTAACGCGACTGCAATGGTGTTGACGTTTGTGAAAAACAAAGGCGAGAGAGGAATCGATTATCCTACAAACATCAGAGACGTTCGAACAAGTTAAAAAATTAATTTTAATCTGAATAGCAAAAGAAGATTTATATACACTACCATATTCAGTGCTTCATTTATGTATAGTATATACTTCACCCACTGCATCTGCATATTACTAGTAAACGGTGTCATAATAATAACAAGAAAATTGTTTTTAACACGTTCACTGCCAAACGCGAGTTATCACGTAGGCCGAAATTTGTGTTTAAGCACCAGCTACGAGTTAATTCGTATAATGTTTTTGTTTTACCTCCGCCACATACGATCAAACTCGTTGTATTTTCATGTTCTTTGAGGTATCTGACTTTAAGGATTAGGAAAAAACAGTGCAATTTGGAGCAATTCAAGAGATTTATTGTAATTAATATAAGTAAATAACATAGAAACTGTAAAGATAATCTTTGTTATAATAATTGTAAAATATATTCAAAATTTGTTATAAGCATCCAACTACGAATATACTCGTTACGAGAACACTCGTAATCGATGCTGTCATAAAATGTTTCATCGTAAAGCCCGATTACGATTAAATTCGTATAATTAATAAAGCAATTAAAACTTATTTAAATTCATTATCTTTCTCATAAATACATGTTTTGTATTTTTATTTTATAATTAATTAATTAAATTTGTTGGCTTGATGGAACTGTTTTTGAAAATGTTTCTTGGCAGCGAGCGTGTTAAGAACGGATTAATTATTTTTTAACACATCCGAAAGAATTTCCCATCTATTCTTATAAGAAAGTTCATTTGGTATAGGTCCAAGGACATGGCACGAATTAATGATTAATGACGTATATACTGAAGTATCATTGTATTTCTTCGGAAGAAAAGGAAATGTTGAGGGATGAGTACAATATCTTAGTCATTGATATGAATAATTTCATTTAAATTTAAAATGAAAAGATTTTACTTACTTTACTAGCACAGTCAAAACGCATTCCAAGGGAAACCATGAGGCGTAGAAGCACTGGATCAGAGTTGCATTTGACAGCTGATACGTGAAATTAAAATAAATAAATAAAACAATTACACAGTTCCTCAATAAATATGAGCAAGAACGAAAACGGATTTTTTAATAAAAGGATTAAAAAAAATAAATAAATATAGAAAGTAGTAAAAATTACATAAACATAACTGATAAATCTTTATGTATAGAAAAAGAAGCATTTTTTATTTTACCGTAAAAAGGCTCTACTCTTGGTAACTTTGCTTTCCAATATCGGCATTTATACACAACATCTGAAAAGTCGGCGACGTAGAAAGGGAGATCGTTTCCCTGAAAAAAAAATAAATTAGCTTCGGAAATATTTCCTACGTAAATCAACAGACATTAATAATGTTAAAATAGGTTATCGGATGAGGTTTTTAACAATAGCATATCTCGATTATGTGAGAGAGAGTTATCTATAACATAATACATAATATAAATTGAGTTGTTTGGTTCAGTTGATTACGGCAAATCACACTAAGGTTCTCTGCCTAAGGGAAGGGATGCCTTCGAGGAGAACTTTCTAAGGGTAGGGTTTCTAAAGCTCGTATACACGTTACTCATGGCGAAAACCACGGAAACCCCCATGCAGCCAGGGCGTTTACCTGGAATCGAGCCCAAGTAATCAATAGTTCTCAAGATTGTAAGATGCAGCTTTATTTTGAGAGTTTTCCTTTGATATATATATAAAAGGAGAACTCTCTCTGTTCATTGCGTTCAGTACCAAACTTGAGCGCGATACCTAATTGCAGCTCCCTGGTGTTTGGAAGCGAAAACGATCGCTGTCTACATTGGGGGAGAGAAATGTTGTTCTCCGTGTGCATAGAGCGACCTGTTTTTCGTTTGAAATGATAGAAAACTGCACAACTTCGTTATTACGCGCATTAACATGACATATACTATCATTGCGCAGCCATTTATGCAACCGAATAAATAGATTACAGTCCGAAAGTTTCCGAGCGGTAAAGTCGTTGAACACCAGTAGTTCGATCTAGGTTCGAATCCCGGCGAACGGCTCGGCATACGATTCAGTTTCTCTTAAAAGTCACCCAGAAAAGCATCCTTTCTGTTAGGCGGATAGCTTATATGTGCTTTGCGATATTCAAATAACTTATCTAAGGCTGGATCTATTTTTAACTCAGCATTGCTATCGTCGACTGTTAGATAGAAGAGAAATAAACGACTGCTTATAACAGAAAACAACCTAAAAGGAAATATTATTGAAACACTTGCAGTAACGCCGACGTAACAATATCGATAATGGTTGTGGACGCGTTCGAATAAACATCGAGAAGTAAAGCGCTGAGTACGGTATGTACTTTTGTACGTTGTATTCCAGGTTGAAGAATTAGTTTTCTAATGGCGCTCTCTCTTAATAGACGATTGTCATAACATCGCTATCACAGGATGTGCTCTATAATGTAATTACATATCTGGATCGCCCTAGTGTTGAGTAAAATTGTAACAACCTTTCATTCTGAAAACCACTTTTATTAGGATTATCCAGATAATTAGTTTGTTATTTTTTATAATTTTAAAATTTATCTCTTATTTCTAACTAGAACTCATCATATAATGTATCTTTTGTACGCTTTATTCTAATCAGAAAGCTCATTTTGTATTTCAATTACACTCCGACAGTTCATTAACCTGCGCTTGATTTAAAGTAATAATACTAGCGATTTTTTTATTAGATGTTGCAAGTAAAGAAGATGTGATTGCTTCTGAAATTATTCCAATGATAACAACGAAAAATTGAATGCATTCTCTTTTCCGGTTCTTAAGATAGGTTTGTAGTTTGTATGTTACAGAAAGTTTCTCTTTTATCTGGAAATAACGTAAAAGAATAGGATTACATTTTACGTTCACTTTTCTGATAAATGCTTCTGTTATCTCTTTTTTCACGTAATCAAAATAGAAAGAGTAGAGAGGAAAATGTAAGTAAAAAGTGCGTTGTTTCATTCAGTTCAGGCATTTTAGCTCTCGAATTAAGTTTTCGAATTAATTTTTGATTACTTAGAAATATACCCTCCAGTTTCAGAGCTGTTTTAGGTCCACTGACAGCAGAAAATTCAAACCCACTTTGATTCTCTTCTGACTGGCTGGCTTTATTCGTGTTTTCACGGTTTTTGCATGTGTAAGGTAAAAAGATGACGTTTTCCTTTAGAATGGTTTCCAAGGTATCGCCTAAACGGGACAGTGGTTAGTGAATCTGACTACCGTAATGAAGGGCTCGGGTACGACTCCCGAGAAAGACATGGATGTTTGTAAATGTATAGTGTCTGTGCGGCATAGGGGCACACTAAATATGAGGCGAGCCGAAAGTCCTATCTAAAGGTTGATGGTAAGGAAAGAGGGTGGAAGGCCTTCGGTCCTGTCCCCGGGGTGCTCTCTCTCTAAACTGGGGGCAGAACTCAGTTAAAGTCGGCGGACTCAAGTCACCGTCCCGACGGATAATTTCAATGCATTAAATAACGCTTTCCTATTTATTCTCTCCAATTTAAATACTATTTTCTAGAAGTTAGTTACAAGAGCCAATAGATTTTTTTTTTTAATCCAAAGGGGTTTTGTCCCTGAAGGACTATTATCTTCGTTTTGCGATTTTGCGTTGGTTCACTATAAATGCCCGTTTCACTTTTCAAACTGTTGCCACCAAATGTTAGAGTCCTGCATTATATTTGAAGAAATTAAATAATAAAAAAGCTGCATAAATGCATATATATTTCTCACACTGTGATAAAACAACGGTACATAGAGCCGTCGAATTTTGAATGACGTAATCCTATTGCGAATATGGGCATGTGGAAGCATAAATTTGAAATTTGGATTTTGTTCTATTATAAATTTAATCTGATTATTTAAAATCTGAAACCTTTTAGATTTTTTAAAAATTTTTCTTTTTTTTTTTTTTTTTTTTTTTTTTTTTAAAGCCCCAAGTAGCATTAGCCCGGAAGGGCTATTAGTCTTGAAACGGCATTTTGCGTCGAATCGCTACAAACGGCTGTATCACTTTTCAAATTGTTGCCACCAAATAAATTCGTTTTTATTTAAATCAATCTGATTAAAAAGTTTAAAAAAATTACCCTTATTAATTGTGTGAATTCCTTTTAAAGAGTTTAGTTTGTTAATTCATAAATAAAGAAATTATGTAATGAAGAATCTGCACGAATGTATGTATGTTTTTCGCATTGTGAAAAACAAAGATACCAGGATCATCAAATTCTGTATAACATAGTCCTCCACCCGAATATGGACACCTGGAATCCAGAATCTTGAATTTCTTATTTGTTTTATTATCTATTTCACATTTTTTAAACTTTAACGAATTATGGATCAACATACTCTACGATTTCAAAGCAAGCAAGGGCAACACAATGTACGGAAAAAGTATTTTTGTCTCCAGCGCGTTGAATTGTCTTTCGGAAATAACATAGAAAGATATGCTGTTTTTAAATACTTTTAGCAAAAACGACGTTAGCCGAATTACTCTGGAACCGTGTCTGTGGGGTACATGGAAAAAAAACCGCGCTTTGTAAAGTAATCTGAGCCCACCAGCGGCCGAGCGGTAAAGTCGCTGAACACTGGTAGTTCGGTCCGAGGTTTGAATCCCGCGAACGGGCTGGCTGTATGGGCGTTTTCGTGGTTTTCCCCATGTGTAACGTGTATACGAGCCAGTTTCCCTTAGAAAGTCCTCCACGAAGGAATCCCTCCCTCTTAGGCAGATAGCCCTCGAGGCTTTGCCATAATCACACACACACACACACACATGTAAAGTAATCTAAAATCTGAAAGCTTATACGAAGTAAAGAAAGCATTGTAATCGCGAAAAAGTTCGGAAATCATATTTCAAGGAAAATATCAGCTACTCTTGAAACCTTTTAAATGATGTTTTTGCGTGACATCTGTACATACAGACAGAATAAAGGAATATTTTTGCCAAAAAGAATTGTAAATTGGCTTTACAGTGGATTCAGAAGAGATTTTTTTTCTTGACGTTTGTACGTTTGTAATCACGTATGTATGTATCTCGCATAACTCAAGAACAAGTAGCCGTAGACATTAGAAATTTTGCATGTGGAACTGATATAGCATGCAGTTGTGCATCTCCCTTTTTTGTTGCAATCAGCGTCATCAATCATATATCTACTATATTGAATTGTGTGTTTTTTATTCCAGTTAAGGTTTTTATGTCTTTAGTTAACCTGCTTGCAATTGTTGTAGAATTACGTTCAATTTAAAAGTTTAAGTGGAGAGTTAAACCTAACGAACGGTTTTTTTGTTTACATTTTAACCTCACTAGAATAGTGAATTAAGTCAGTTCTGCACCTTCAGTATATTTTTGCCGAGTGCGTTCAAAAGTAAACTTTCAGTTTTGTGCATAGAAAAATCTGCCTTTTTGCCCGCTGGCCGAACTGCTTGTTTTTGCGTAGAAACTCTTAATTTTAATTTTAGAAATTGTTGATTTTTAATATGTTTTAACTTTATTTGATGTTTTATGTTTTTTTGCCTTTTACAATTTTTAATTAAGGTATTTTGAGCTTTTATGTTTTTTTTTTTTTTTTTTTGACGCGAAGAACTGAATTAATTGAGTGAGAAATATTTCTCTAATGAAATTTGAGGCAATAAGTTTAAAGGAAAATGCTTAAGTTTAAAGGAGTTATGTTTAAAGAAAATAAGTTTCAAGTTTCGAGGAAATGCAGTATAAAATGTGTATAATTTAAAAGGCCATACAAAGAAGGCATGGTATGTCCACATCAGATTTCTTTTAGTTAGGTTATCCGAGTCCTGCAAAGCCATGGGAGCGATCTGCCTAAAAAGAGGGATACCTTCGTGGTGGACATTTTAAAGAAAACTGGCTCCTATCCACGCTACAGTTCGTGTACCTTACTTTAAACCGTATTATTACTCTCAACGCATTTTCATTATTCTAGTATTAGCGCATTTAAACTTGGCAAACAATTTTCAAGTCCTCATCGAAAGAATACAATTTCTTGACATATAATTTACTTTATTTATGTTTATTAAGTTTCAACTTTATTATGCATTTTCCATATAGTAAATAACATTTTCATGTTTGTTTTGCTTAGATAACAATCTAAGTCGTGCAAAAGCGCTTATTCTTCTATTTCCAGCCAAAAGTCTCAGAGAACAACGCCAACCTAGAGGTAAACACATCTAGCGGTTGATGCCTCAAAAACCATCAGCGATGTCTGATGTCCGATCCACGCAACACATGCAGCTAGCCATGCAGCTAGCCCGTTCGCTTGGCATCTAAAGGAAACCAAAGCGAACTACCAGCATTCAGCTGTCTTAATGGTTTCTTGGTGGAGCATTATATTTATTTTTTTAATTGTAAAGAGAGGAAATGTACAATTAAATTGCAGAGCAAATCAATACATATTTCAGCCAGAAGAAAGTAATTAAGGAACAAAATCTTACCATTTTGTTAATGCAACTTCTGATGACATCATTAATAGCCTGTGCTTTAACTTCGGACATTCTTCTTTCAAAACGTGGATTCCCTAAAAAAAAAAATAAATAAATAAATAAATAAAAAAAAAAAATTAATAAATAAATAAAATAAAATAAAAAAAAAATCTGAAATGTTCAGATTTTAAATTACGTCCAAAGGGGCGTTTTTTTAACGTTTTGAGTGTTACCTTTATTTATTAAATATCATGTTCTTTGCACTTAAACCATAAAATTCAGTTTCAAGAGCAATATCGCAAAATAATGTTAAATTAAGCATATCTTTAGAATTTCCGATATACACAGTCTCGCGAGCTGGAGATAAAAGTATTTTTTTTCTATATAACGTTGCCATTTCTCGCTTTTAAAGCATTGAGTTTGTAAATCAAAAATTCGTTAAAGTTTTACAAAATATAAAATCTATAATAAAACAAATTCCAAATTTGGGATTTCAGATGCCCATATTCGCAGTAGGATTTCGTCATTCAAAATTCGATGGCTCTATGTACCATTGTTTTATCACAATGATAAAAATGAAATAGACAATCATTTATGCAGATTTTTCATTATTTAATTTCTTCAAATATAATGCAGGACTCTAACATTTTGTGGCAACAGTTTGAAAAGTGAACCGACGTTTATGAGTCCGACGCAAAATGCCAAAACGAAAGCAATAGTCCTTCGGGACTGAAATCCCTTTGGACTAAAAAGAATTTATTTATGTATATTTCGTATATTGCATATAAACACATAGCAATCGTAAGCCCATTTTCGCTTTTTTGCTTAAGTCAGAATGAAATTCTTCACCCATTTGACTGAAGTAATATATTTAAATCAATAAGTAGAGCTTACAAATATTTTCATATATTACAAATATACCATGATTATACAATAACCACAGACCATCAGCGACTGGTCGGCTTCATAAGCGTTCTCGTGGTTTTCCCATGCATAACGTGTAAACTATCCAGTTTCCCTTAGAAAATCCTCCACGAAAGTATGCCTTCCCTTCGGCAGACAGCCCTTGCGTGCTTCGCCATACTTAAAAAATCCAAACAATAATCATATCTAATTAGCAGAAGGAGTAAAGCAAGTTCTCGTTTCAAATTTTGTAGCTGGGACCTCTTTTTCGCGTTCATTTTGTTTGCGGTTTGTGATCAATCAACTTTGTTTCACAAAATTTCGAAATTATATTATGAATAAATCTATTTACTTGCATTCAGAAATTTCCTGATAGACTTTTGACAATCCCAATAAATCTTACTATCACGATTCACGTATTCTGTCAGCAATACGTAGCAATAAATCGTATTAAGACATTCATACTTCATGCAAATTACACTTAAGTAAAACAAATATGAAGGTAGAGATTATGTCAAGAAAGCTGCAGAGCATGCGATCTGTGAATAAAAGGTAACTTTAATGTATTAATATAAATATTCTAACACTAATATGTAACAATGTATCCTCTTAAGACACTAAAAATACATATTCCAAGTGCATATTTCCGATGGAAAAGCAAGTACTGAAGAAATGAATATTATGTTGCTATGACAGTTCAAGAATACAGTGGTCGCCGCTTAATGTGATCACGTTTATTATTTTGTTCCGACCTAAGTCACTACGCGGAAGGGAGGGATGCCTTCGTGGAGGACTTCTAATGAAAACTGGTTCGTATTAACAAGCTACACATAGGGAAAACACGAAAACTTCATGCAGCCAGCGGGACTCGAACCTCGGAGAGAGCTACCAGTATTGAGGAACTTCACTGCTCAGCCACAGCCACTGGTGGGCCACGTGATCTCGTTTGTCTACAGTTATTTTAATAAAATTAACATATGAATGGAGTGGGCGTTATTTACATGAAATTATTAGGAAGCAAGTGTTTGTATTGTTTAGTCATTGGCGGCCGAGCAGTAAAGTCACTGACGAATGGTAGTTCAATACAAGTTTCGAATCCTTTCGAACGGGTTGGCTGCATGGACATTTTCGTGGTTTTCTCCGAGTGTAGCGGGTTTACCAGCCAGTTTCCCTTAGAAATTCCTCCGAAAAGGCAACCCTCCTCTTAGGCGTATAGTTCTCCCATGCTTTGCTGTAAACAAATAAATCAAACCGAAGCCTTTGTATACGAGTGGCGTTGTAAACAGGAAATACAAAAACCGTATGGAATTTCTTACAGCACTCTACGATTTCTGCAATAAAATATGAAATCGCATGCTGAGCAAAACATAATGTTGTTATTTTGTATTCTGTTTTCATTTCAAGTATTTCTTTATTTTTGTGAAATAGCTTAGAACCATTTAAAGAATTAAAGGTAAAAACCAATGAATAATTAGGAGATTAGGATATGTCGAAGCTACTGCCATACTGTCAAAGCTTAACAACTAATCGTAATATCACGATTTACTTATTCTGTCAGCAATACGTAGCAATGAATCGTATTAAGACAAGCATACTTAATGCACATTACACATTAAGTAAAACAAATATGGAGGTAGAGATTATGTCAAGAAAGCTGCAGTGCATGCGATCAGTGAATAAAAGCTAAATTTAATGTCATCAACTAATTATTTACAACTAATAATTTAATTAACTTAGTTGTCAGTCCACTTTGATTGCTGTAAATAATCTACGTATCAGAGTCCAGGTCCGTTTCCTCAGTTCGAGACGCCCGGACAAGCGATTCGTTACGAGCTGCTCGAACAGATGTAAACTGGCCTTTAGGGAGGTAGTGTAAGTGTGGTTTGTCCTAATCCACTAAATGCAATTCATTATCATTTGCTTATAATGAATTACTGTCTTCCCATTCTACTTGTTCGAAGTTCAGTGGAAGATATTTTGACAGCAGAGCGATAGAAACAGAGAACAAAACCGTCCCCTCTTTACGAAGATGTTCATAGCAGATTCCTGTAATGAAATGCGCGTAAGATGGATACTGAAACCACATGCATTCCCTTAAAAATTCTCCAAGAGCAGCCAAAAGGAATACCGGAAGGACTGTTCCTTGATATATCCAAGACTTTCAATCGTGTTTGGATGGACGTATTCATCTATAAAATGCACAGTTCTTCTCTATATCACGCAGAGTTGTAAACAAGAAATACGAAAATTGTATCGAATTTTTTACAGCACTCCAGGATTTCTGCAATAAAATATGAAATCGCATGTTGATCAAAACATAATGTTGTTATTTTGTATTCTGTTTTAAGTATTTCTTTATTTTTGTGAAATCGCTTAGAATCATTTAAAGAATTAAAGACAAAAACAAATGAATTATTAGAGATTACGATATGTCAGAGCTACTGCCATACTGTCAAAGTTTAACAGCTAATCTTACTATCACGATTCCCTTATTCTGTCAGCAAAACGTAGCAATAAATCGTATTAAGACATTCATACTTCATTCAAATTACACATTAAGTAAAACAAATATGGAGGTAGAGATTATGTCAAGAAAGCTGCAGAGCATGCGATCCGTGAATGAAAGGTAACTTTAATGTTATAATATAAATATTCTGACACTAATATGTGACTATTTATCTTCTTAAAACATTAAAAATACATATTCCAAGTGAAGCGCGAATCCAATTAGACACGCCTTTAAAATCGGAATATGAAATGTGAGTTTTTAATGCTCCACTGTTCGTAGGAACATCTTTACGGTTCAGCTACCTAATAGGAGATATTTGCTTTCAACTTTAGGCTGTTTATGTACTTGTTGATATTCTAGTAACAAACTGTTGTTTTCTAAATCGTGTAGCATTCTCTTTATTGTGATTGTCAAAAGTCTGTCAGGAAATTGCTTTATGCAAGTAAATAGATTTATTCATAATATAATTTTGAAATTTTGTAAAACAAAGTTGATTGATCACAAACCGCAAACAAAATGAACGCGAAAAAGAGGTCGATCGTTAGAAATATTATTTATAGTTCTAACACAAGCGCTTTGCAAGTGTACGATTAAAAAAAGAGGTTAAAAATATATTTTTTGAAAATACAACTTTCATGGCTGAATGGTTCAATGTGAATGATTAAGACAAAGGCACTCGGAGGTTATCTGACACTAGGGACGTATGCCTTTATGAAGGATTTAAGGTAAACTGGCTGGTATGCACGTTAAACATGGGGAAAAACTAGGAAAGCTTTTGTGCAGCCAGCCCATTCGATGAGATTTGAACACGGGTTAAACTAACAGTGCTCAGCGATTCTACCGCTAGAATTCTAACGGACTCTGAAACATAAGAAATGTATCTCTTATATTAGCTTTTTAGATAAATGAAGTATTAAAATAGAAAGATATTAAAGAATCTTTTTTGGGACAATACTCCCTTTGAAAACGAAGAAGACTTATAAGAGATGAGAATATATTTAATTTAAGGGTAGTAAAAGACAGTGTTGGCAAATATATTCCGTTCTGCAGAAACTTGCTTAGCTCATGCTGTCTTCTAATAGGAAAGATCCAACGAGGAAAGCCCGCCAGCAGTCAAACGGTAAAACCGCTGAACACTGGTAGTTCTGAGCTGGATTTCATTCCAGGGAAACGGGCTGGCTACATGGTCACTTTCGTGGCGCTCCGCATATGTAATATGTATACAAGCCAGTTTCTCTTAGAAAATCCTCTACAAAAGCATCCTTCCTGTTAGGCAGGTAATCCTTGAGTGTTTTACCATAATTAAAATAAACCAAGAAAATCAGTGAGGATTATTCGCAATTTTAGAAAAATTGAACTACTTTTCATAAAGAAAATGAAGCGTATAACGAACAGCTGATAATATGACATACAGGACATGATGTTTACTCAAGACCTGAATTAAATATTTATAGTCATTTGCTTAAAATAAATAAATTAATTAACAAAATGAAAACGTGAATAAATAAATAAATAATATCTCTGCGCCTGCTCTGAAATTTATTATTATTTTTAAATAATTCCAATGCTGAATATTTTAAATATTAGTAGAAATTTTTTAAATATTTTGAACACATTTTATTTAATCAAAAAGCTTTCATATCATGCCAACAAACATACCAACATGATCTAAAAGACATTTCTCATGCATTCTTGATCTTGTTAATGATCCAATATAATGGAGAAACAACAACTCGCATTATATCGAAAAAGTTCATAAACTCAGCTTGATAAAAGACAATATAGATATTGTTGCGAATTTCGTGTATATGTAAATAATTTTAGTCCTTTTTTATTTAAATTATAATATCTCTTGCATAATGTAACACGAAAAGCCTCAGAACGGCAAAGCCTGGCCTGAAAGACAAGATTACAGGGGCAGGTTCTTTTAATATTTAAGGTAAATAGCTATCTCGCTAGACGCCAAGCTGATAATTTTATTACCAAATTTGGCGAGAAATTTGAAAATGTCGTCAAACGTAGCAAATTTGGCGACAACTGCGGTCCCTTTGTTACTATAACTGGTTCTATCACTAAGTAACTATATCCAGCCGTATGTAACTGTAATTGTGTATACCCTCCAGCAATATCCAGAGGTCGAAGGTTCTAGAAATTTCTCGGGGCCAGGGGAAAAATTATATAAGACAGGAGAGAGCACCAATTCTCAGTTTTTAGTTAAACGTTATCTTCGGAGTATTGAGAGATCTCCCTGCGAACTTCGCTTTTTAGATGCGTTTTGCGTTGCGTTGTGTTTAACGTTCTTTGTAATTTGAAGGGGTGACTACTGATTGTGCACAATACTTCTGTGGAAAGTTCCAGAACTGTCACGTGTTTCTTTTGGGAAAATAAATTTTATTAAGCTATTATCAGTTCTATGTGCATTGCTAACCCGTTTGTACGTAACAGTTTAATAAATAATCGGGAAATTCATGAACTCACCTTCATTAAACACTCAAGTATCCAGCGAGGAAGAAAAGGCGAAACGATAGCATTGACACGAGGATTACGAAAAACTGCTTTCAGTACTTTAAGCTCAATGACCGTGAAACAATCTGACCGTGAAGTTGGTATAACACTCTTGATATCGTAAAATTTACCTTGAGAAGTTGCTTCGCAAATAGAATGGACTAAGAAAATGAGCCGCATGTGTAGCTGAAAGAGGCACACCCAGTAATGTATATCCGAAAGGGAAAAAAGCTTTTCAGCAACAACAGCAAAACACTTTCTACATTTAAATTCCTACTATTTATTAGCTCACACTCTCCCTATATCTTGTTCAAATTTTCATTCGTTAATAAAATAATTTTTATTCATCCACTCAAGTTCAAATACATTTTTTCAAACTTGGAGTAGATGACACTTGATATTAATACAGTTTTTTTCACACTTTTTTCACTTTAATGTTTTTCAGTTTTTTTCACTTTAATTCCTTGAGTCGGATATATCGCCTTGAGACGTGCGAAATCATTAGATGGAATATTAATTAAAGAACTGGACTGCTCGAAACTCACTGGAAAAGTTTCTTGCAATAATGAAGCCTTACAAGAAATGGATAGAATGAGAAATTATAGATCACCATCAGCTTCATAAATTAGAAACGAAAATATTTTAGTAATGTTAATAAAAAATAACTAAAATAAGATTTTTCTTTGTTGACCTAAGTGGGAATTAATTGACTTTAAAAAAAATTCTTTTATATTACTTGTGTTTCCTATTCTTTGTGGGAATAATGTTCACTTTCAAAGCACGCATAATCTACAACACTATCGCATTTTTTAAGGAATTAAAAAAAAAAAAAAAAAAAAAAGACGCCGCTTATGTGATCGCAGTTAATATTATTCGATATCGTAACCGAATGGCCGAAATTCCTCTCGTTTGTATGGAAAATACATCGCTTATTTGGATCAACATTTCCGAAAATATGATTACACTATTAGAGAATAAATTTTTTAAAATTGTTGCCAAGTCGCCAAATCAAGCCAAAATAGATTACAAAAATTGTCAAGTGACAGAGAAATATCGCCAAGAAAAGACTGAGTCGCCAAATAGCTTGGTTACGATTTTAGCCAACTACTTAAAAATAGGCAAAAAGGCAACCTTGGTTTGAAGTCGATTTTTATTAAATGTACCAACTTTTAGGGCGATCAGACACAGGTCCCTCTTCTTCGGCATAAAAAATATTCTGCATATTAGAATTTGTTTTCCTTGAAAATATACTATGCGCCAAACTGAGGCTACATTTGGGCCTAATTTTAAATTGTACATTGACATCTCTTTCTGTAACAGATGTCCTCCGAGTAAAAACATCATCGGTTAAATAATTTCCAGAAACATTATGAATATTTCATAAATAAACTTTTCCCTTTTCTAAATTAAAATGTTGTGAAACTGCGCATTTATATGTTTCTAGTTTTATTTACAGTAAATTCCATTGCTAGATTGAAGAATATTTTTTCTCATCGTTTAATGTTATCATTCGGTTAATTCTATCAATTCTATGGACAAATATAATCACGTCAAGCTAAACCTATTGTATTTAACTGAGGACGGAATAATAAATATGTTTGAATTGTTAATAATTATTAAAGGATAAAGCATCATGTAAACTACGACTGTAGGACCTGATTCTAGTGCTGGAATAAAAACACAAATAATTAGTTAAATTTACACAAGATTATAATTCTAATTTTAGTTTGATTCGATTGCAAAAAAAAAAAAAAAAAAAAAAAAAAAAACCATCGAATGTTTCCTTCTTAGGTTAATTAAGATGTTAAGTAAACAACAATATTGCTGAGGCACAAGACTGAAGAAGTATTTTTGAATCGCTGTATTAATCAGGTTTAGGTTGAAATGGCAGCTATAATAGGAGAGGTAATGGCTTCAGCTCTCTTGTAAATCTAAGAATTTCATATTTCTATTGCTTGAAAAATAATTTTTTTAAATATCAGCAAAAAAAATTAGCTATTAAAAACAACTTCTTAATATTACATCACTGAAAATGGATTCGAATGATGAATACCTTGAGATGGTTCGAAGTAAGGAGTCCTCAGCTTTGACTTGCTTTAGTTGTATCCCACTAGGGCTATCTGCGTAAGGGATGGAATGCCTTCGTGAGGATTATCTAAGGAAAACTGGCTCGTATACACGATACACACGGGGAGAAACCTACGAAAATGCCCATGTATCTAGCCTGTTCGCCGGGATAAGCTCTCAGGTAGAATAATACATTGAGCACACCAGCGGCCGAGCGGTAAAGTCGCTGAACACTGGTAGTTCGGTCCGAGGTTCGAATCCCGCGAACGGGCTGGCTGCATGGGCGCTTTCGTGGTTTTCCCCATGTGTAACGTGTATACGAGCCAGTTACCCTTAGAAAGTCCTCCACGAAGGCATCCCTCCCCTTAGGCAGATAGCCCTCGAGGCTTTGCCATAATCACACACACACACAGAATAATACATTGTATGGGTGGTGGTATCTTATGTTAACCATCTAAAATTACACCTTTAAAATGTACGATATGTCAATAAAATTTTCCATGGCATAATATTCCTAATAACATTTGATAAAATAGAATAATATCATAATAATATAAGATAATTAAAATTATCATTAATGTCACATAAAGAACCATATTCTTTTATGGTCCTAGAAAAATTAAAGATTAACTTAAGCTCCGATCAATATATCAAGCTAGAGTGTTCAGCCTAAGATAATTACACCTTTAGCAGGCACAGAAGCTGTTTTTGCAAAAAATAAACACTAGCCAGCGAATATACAACTACAATATTTGTGAATTTTTGTAAAACACATGAACTTTTTGGCATGCAAAGTATGTTCGTTAAAGGAAAAATAAATAATTTCAGCATATGTGTTACGAAGTAATGTGTGCTATCAGTTAGGGATACTTAAACTCCATATCTTTGAGTTACACCTTCAAAGACCTACATTAGGCAAAATAAATATAGGCATGTCATAATATCAATAATAATATATAATAAAATAAATTCATAAATTTGTAAGATAGCTAAACTTAATACGAATGCCGTATGAAATATAACCATTGACTTTTTTATGAAATATAACCATTGACCTTTAACGAGTCTCGCGAATTTGTAAGGAAATCTACTTTAGGCCACGGAGAAGTATCTAAGAAAGGGGGTGAGATTCGAAAATTATTTCTTCTTTTCCCAATATTTATTCTGTAGTAACAAATCGTTGAGATTTTTTTTTCTTTTAAATTTATTGGCCCAATATTTTGCAATGTCTGAAAGAAAAAAGGAAGAGTAATTTTTCAGTGAATCATATAGCAGTGATGAAGAAACCTGTTACGAGCCTTACAAACATTTTGAATAACAGCAATGAGGAACTTTGGAGGTTTTCAAGAAAGATAATTATGAACAAAATTACATTTTCATATTCTGATTCGAATACTGATAAATGCAGCGGTAATAAATGCGATGTAGATGCTTACCAATCATATTTTACAATACTTGGTTGTTTAGGAAGAAAGAAATGTTGATGACGACGAAAGCACAATTCAGTTTAGTAAGCAGAATGAATTTAGCTGTCTGTAACAATAAGTTTCGTTTACCTCATTCCACAATAGGGCCCACCAGTGTCCGAGAAGTAAAGTCCCTGAACACTGGTAGTTCAGTTCGAGGTTCAGATCAACTTGATCAGAGTTTTTGCAGTCACCCGAATACGGGTCACATGGCAGTCAGTGTTAAAGAATTAAAAATATTCAAGTCCTCTAATCGGAACGTTCATTTGGAAATTTTTAACATAACAGAACATTAAAATTCCCGGCAATATTAGAAAATATTCGCCATCCGAATACATAAATCAAGTGACTCAAAACAGAGAATTAAAGTCTAAATGAAATATTTGATTTACTTACACACAGCAGTGCTCATGACGATGTTCTGTCAGGCAGTCGGAACTGCAACAAGCTGAGAAAAGGAACCACCAAACAAGGTTTGTCCGTAACGGAATCTCGTTACCGTTTCTAATACTTTTAAACACTAAGGCGCTATGTATCTGCTAAGCGGAACATATCTGAATTTATTCCCTTCTCTAATCTATCTGGGTTCCAATAAAAAAGAGTAAAGCCTATTGTGATTTCGAAACATGTGAAAGGCATAAACACCTAAATAATGGCATATTGCAAAAAAGTGTCCTCCCTTCCCCCTGCCGTTGTCCAGTTCAAAATCCTGGGCAGATAACTCTGACGAAAGACCCCCTTTTCCACCACAGCCGCGGAAATTTCTTCAAGGCTGTAAAGATTATGCGAAACAAGCATCAAACTTGAATTCTGAACTGTTTTTCTGGAATATTAAAACCTTCGCATCACGCCACGACGTTAGAAACAAAGGGCTAAAAGATAAGACTGCACGGGGTGATGACGTCATGAGACCAGCTGAATGGATGACGAAATGTATAAATTAAGGTACTTCAAAATGACACTTAAATGACTCTTATAGATTTAATCGAAAGTGTCGGAACACACACAGCGTGGTTCTGTGCATTTTCTGGATCTGAAAAGCGTTTTAAATCTTATGCTATTCTTTAGCTCGAAGATTGTTTCATAAAACTCTCTTAAGTTCAAGAAAAAGAAATTAAAACAATTATTTCATAAAATACTGAAATTTTGCGTTTTTCATGCATAAACTATTTCTAGACTCCATTCCATTTCTGTAAACGATATTCACATTACGCTAACACTACATTCTTTGAACTGGAATTACGTTCGACTTATCAGTTTCTATGATTTTGGAATCTAGATTTTTAACTACCGTACACACAATGCAACATCCGCACATTTTATCGTGATCACCAGCTGATGGGTAAAACAGTTAAACACTGCTAGTTCGACCCTAGTTCCCGACCGGCGATGGAGCTGGCTGCATGCGAGTTCTCGTAAACTTCTCCATGTGTTACATGAATATGAGCCAGTTTACCTTAGAAAGTCCTTTACAAAGGCATCCTTTAGGCAGATAGCCCTAGTAAACTTTATCATAATGCAGTTTAACGCCAGATCACACTACTCTTCTTTAAAAAAATTTCATAGCAGATTTCCAAGTCCGAAATTAAACAGGTCATTCGTTTCTTGAGTTCGATATCTCGCACTTATTCTACGGAAACCCCAGAATAATAACTATTGAAACCGGGATATCTTTATCCGGATAATTCTAGAAAATAAAACAAACTGGCTCGTGTTCATGTTACGCATGACGAAAAGCACGAAAACCGACATACAGCTTCCTCGTTTGCATGGGATCGAACTTAAACCAGGTCGAACTACCAATACTCAGCGGTCTTAACCAGTTGGTTATTGGCCATAAAGCATGTAAGAAATGATAGAATTGGTAATGAATTGCTTTATATATCAAATTTTAAATTTAAACATATATCTAGGCAGTTTAAAAATGTTTCCCTCAAAATGAGCAGGAAACAGTTATATTCAGCGGCTCCTTTATACTAGTTACTTTACAGCTAATTAAGTAAAAGAGATTTTACTGTTACATTGTTTCAAAAGCACGCGCTTATCATTAAGAAAGCCCGTCAGCGGCAAAGTCCTCCACGAAGCCACCCCTCCCTTCCGTGTAGTGCACAAGGACGGAGCAGGTAAATAATAATATATACATAATTAAGAAATTAATACAAGGAAGAAAAAATACTTTTGTGGAGATTACACTCGAAAATATTTTTTATTACATTCCTTCCTGAAGAACAATATTTATTTACATTGTTTCTGGCAATTAGGAAAAGCAAATGTACTACCAAAGTATGGGAGTATCAAAAATATTTTTATTAGATTTTTTCAATTAAATTTTTTAAATCAATTTTCTTTAAAAATTTATCGGTTTTCTTTTTAATTAATTTTTAAATTTTCTTTAATGAATTTCCTTTAAAAATTATTCAAAACATAAATATACTTATAATTTTAATATTTGTTTTTATTTTTTAAACAAATTTTTAAAAGGGATTCACGTTTAAAAATTGTAAATATTTTCTGTCTTGCATTAGCAGGTGAAAAATCAAATGTATTAACATAACATGGGTGTCTCAACAAATGTTATCGTTGTTTGAAAATATACTTTTTTTTTTTTTTAAGAAACAGGGATGAATATCCAATATAACCAATACGAAGAATACAGCAAAGAGTAGGAAATAAAAACTAAACAAAATACAACTAGAGTAAAACATAAAGCAAAATTAGAATAAATAAAGCAAGAAATGAGAGAGAAATCTGACATATCGGGGGAGGTATAGGAAATTGTTTTCTGTTATAATTTGTGTTAAAAGCAGGTCCTATAAAACAAACTATCTTATCAAAGGCAGCATTAAAACACTCTTTGAAAATTAATCAATAAAGTTACAATTGTAAAGACCCACACCACATGGAAAAATAAATCACTGAATTCTATAAACCCAGAGGTGACCTTCAAAAAAAGCTATTGCTGTCGTATCTGTTATTGAAGTTTGCAGTAATCTATCCTTATGTTTGACCTATTTTATCTGCATAAGATAATCATCCATCTTAAACATCTTCAGTTCGATTCTTCGGGAATGATAATATGTTTAATATTATATTACTTTGAAATTATATACAAGCAATTCATTACCAAAATTCCTCAGTACATTTCTTTAGCCTAGTTATCTGATTATTAGTAAATTAAATTCAAAATATATTTAAATAATGCTAAGTATGTTTAACTTGTAGAGACATTAAGTATTTTTTGAAAGCAGGAGAGATGAACAATGAGCAATACCCTCGCCGGGACTCGGATCTCGGACCTCTCGAATACGCGGCGAGTGTGCTGACCACTACAGCACGAAGGCATGCTAAGAAGGCGAGGAAAATACTTTCTAAGTATTTCAAGATTCAGTTCCGCCAGTGGCCAAGAGATTAAGACCACTAAAAACTAAAAGTTCTACCTGAAACTCGATCCCAAGCGAACGGCTGGCTTGGTTTTCGAGGTATCAATTTCATATGTAGAACTGAGCAACAGTTTCCTTTAGAACGTGCTCAATGAAAGCATTTCCTCCCTTCTTCTGAAAACTGATTTTATTCTTTTTTCAGTGTGATATCTTTTTAGGAATAGTTTTTCGTTTTGTTCATTTGATTAGGGCAAAGCACTGCCACTATTTGCCTAAATAGGGGATGCCTTCGTGAAGGACTTTCTAAGGAGAACTAACTTGTATACACGTTGCACACGAGGAAAACCAGGAAAAATCCCATGCAGTCAAACCGTTTGGCATGATTCGAACTCCGAACCAAACTACCAGTATTCAACGATTTTAACGCTCGGCCACTCGTGGGCCATTTTTAAGAATGGTACTTTACCGGTAATTAGACCCGAGTTCGAACTCATGCTAATTGCATTGCAGGTGTCCAATATATATAGCGTCTTTACGAGCCAAGTTTTCTCAAAAATGCTTCACGAAGGCATTCCTCCCCTAAGCCTTCGTATGCTGTTTCCTATACAAATAGCCTAACCTATGATACACGGCTTGATTTCAAATCAATGCGTTGCCGAATTAGTATGCCGAAACTGAAAATATTTGATCAGTATATCTGCTTGTGTCGATGGTAAGAATGTGATGCATTTAGCAAAATTTGTTTTATTGAAAATGTCTTTCAAATAAACACTCACATTAAGAATTTATAGTGATATTTTATTTGTTATTAAACTTTAATGATATTTATAATTACCTAGAACAATAGCGATAATTGCTAATTCAGCCCAAGTTCAAATCTCAGTGAACGCACTGTTTGCACGGGTATTTTACTTACTTATCAGTCTACATGATTTAAATAAAAAGAGTTTCTTTTATAATGTCTTCCACGAATGTACCTTTAGGAAGGTAGTGTAAATGTGGTTTGTCGTAATCCACTAAATGCAATCCATTATCATTTGCTTATAATGAATTACTGTCTTCACATTATAGTTGTTCGAAGTTCAGTGGGAGGTATTTTGAAAGCAGAACGATAGAAACAAAGAACGAAACCGTACCATTTTTACGAAGATGTTCATAGCAAATCCCTGTACTAAAACGCGCATACGATGGATACTGAAATCACATGCATTCCCTTAAAACTCCTCCAGGAGCGTATCCTTAAGCCAAAAGGATTACCGGAGGACTGTTCCTTGATATATCCAGGCTTTTATTCGTGTTTGGATAGACGCATTCAAATGCACAGTCTGAGCCTTCCATATTACACTGCACACATAGTTATATTATATCTGGCAGGTATACACTTTTTCGTTCATATCTCAGACACATACTCAGCCCGTCGTACTATTACTGCAGGGGTACCACAAGGGTCCCTTTTAGGGCCCACTCTTTTCAGTATTTATATGAATGAATTTTCACGTACACCCAACATTACACTAGCAATGTATGCGGATAATACAGCGATTTTTTCTCATCCGTTAGTCCAGTCATCCAACACTTACAAAATCACATACAGGCATTGGAGACCAGGCTTGCTAAATGGACAATTCAAGTGAATGCGGACAAAACTGTTGCAATTCTATCAACTAGAAAAAAAATTAATGGAAATCTATGGCTCTACTCTGCCAGGGACTAAGCAAGTCCCGTATTTGTGGTGGTCCTCACAAATTCTCTCACATGGACCCCACACATTACATTAGTTATCCAACTGTTTCACGTACGTTAAGTTAAACTGTAATCCTTAACTCCTCGAAGCAGCGTTCTCTCTACTGATAACAAATAACTCATTTATAAATTCATACTACGTCCCATGCTATGTTATGTCTGTCCACTTTGGGCTTACTTATGTAAAGCCAACAGAAAGAGGTTGCAAGCTAACTCAAACAATGTTTTGCTGAAAAATTTTAACATCCCGTGGTGCATTCGTAAAAACAAAACTTATAAAGAACTTGAAATTGTTCAATTAAGAACACAGTATTATCAAATACTGTACACTATAAATTTTCATGAAAAACGAAATAATGCAAATACCTCTGAAATTAAAATTTGTAATTATAGCTTTACTGATACTATTAATACAGAAAACGTCCAATGG